AAAAAAAAAAAAAAAAGATGGATAAATATTTAAGTCACCAAATTACTAATTAACTATTAAGGGGTGATTGGATATGAATTCAACTAGTAAAAAATTCGTTATTTTTTTTAACTATAGTTAAGTTTTTTAAAAAAAGTAGTGTAGTTAGTTGTTAATGGATATATTAAAATAATATTTAAATTAAAATAATTATAGTTGATTTGATGTAAAAGTAGGAAAAAATGATCGAAAGTGATGATTAGTTAAAATTATGTGAGTGAATAAATAGTGAATTAAAATTGATGTGATGTGTAATAATGATTGGTTGATGTTATTTAATCATATTGATAATATTCGAGATATTGGAATTAAGTTAAAGTTGGGCTTTAATTGAGATATTTATTGTACAATTCATATACAATCATGCACTAAGTTTTCTACACTTTACATGAACTATTTTTTAATGATTGTATATATTCTTTTCCCAACAAATACATGTAAACTAGATTTTTTAATACTTCATTTAAGTGTCTAATCATTTTTTTTTCCCAAAAGGTTTTCTACAAATGTGTGATAATTTTTTAATAATAATAATAATAAAAAGTAAAGAACTAACAAGTAATAATGAACCAAAAAACCCAAGAGAATGAGATGACTTGTGTCTCTTCTATCTTAACCAGTGGTATCGTGTTCGAGCTTTGGGAATGCAACAATGTTAAAAACTCTTGAGAGAGAGCTTTGGCGCCCTTGTGGTCCTACCCGGCTCGATTCCGGATTATTCGGTTCCTCTGTGGATCCGAAAACCGGAAGGTCCCTATACCAAAAAAATAAAAATAAAATAATAATGAACCAAAAAAGTTGGAGAGGTGGTGTGGCCAGCCAAAGCAAGAATTCTCTACTCACTCAAACACTTCGCAAGAAAGCTGCGTACAGTTCGCACATAATACTCGTTCAAGAACACACACACTCTCTCTCTCTCTCACACTCCCACTAGATTTTAGCAACAATTTTCTGAGTATAATACTTGAATACCCCATTAATAAGCAAGAAAGTTAGAATCTTTTTGCCCATATTTTGTGTTCATCCGCTTTTTTATCTCCTAATAATCTCTTTTGGAAACCGCTTCACATCTCGCGAGCCAAATTTCCATTTTCATTTTTTATTTTCTTTTATGGGTTCACTTTATTCCATCGCTTTTATGGATTAATCCTTCAGGGCTCGCCATATTTCATCTAAATTGGAAGAAAGAGAAGAAAATGAGGACGTTTGGTGTTCGCTTTATCATTGTTCTTCTTTATACTGTTCTTCTCATGGATAACACTTCAGCCCAGATGCCAGGTTTATCTCTTTTCTGTATATTTATACGTGGTTTGTTCAAATTTCAGTGTATTGTTGTTATTAATGCTGTTGTTGTTGCTGTGAAGAGTTTTAAGTAACTGGGGGTGTTGGGGTTTAAGGTTTTGCTTCTAATTTGTTCTTTTTGTTTTGCTGACACTGAGTTCTTGGTTTTTGCTTATAGCTATGTTTTTTTATAGTAAAGTTACTGATTTTTGTGTTAAAATTAGTAGCCTAAAGGATTCAGTTTTGTTAAAGATGTTGGATAAACTCACATTTGCTTAGGGACAGAAATCGAAAAACGATAAAATGTAGGAGCTTTTATTTACCAGAAAGTTGTAATATATAGGTTTCTATACTGTGCATCTGGCAAACCTATTGAGTGAGTGAATCAGTGAAGCTCATGTACTGAGTGATTCAGCTAAATTTGAGAAAAGAGTTGTATTATCAAACATGGTGTTTTGGGTTCAAGCATGAACTTCCAATGATAAGTAATTTTATCCAGAATATAAATATATATGTGGGCAGTTTGTAACGTTTCATAGTTTGGTAAGATGAGCATTTTTCGCTATGGTAGACATGGGTTTGCTTTCTCTCTCTCTCTCTCTCTCTCTCTCTCTCTCTCTCTCTCTCTCTCTCTCTCTCTCTCCCTCTCTCTCTTTGGCATTAGGATTATAACCAAAAATGTTTTGATAGTGGAATATTTAAAACGTGTTGCGTATCTTATAACGTCTTTCGCTTTTTGTTAAAAGAAGCTGTATTTCTTCGTGGACATCATCAAAGCTTTACAATGTACCTTATAGTGTGTCTAGGAAAAGTGAGAGAACCCAGTGTTTAGTTGAGGACATTTGCGTTTTTACAGGTCTTTTTCATTTAATCCCTTTTTTAATTGCTTTTTATCTGATATTGCTGAATGTTCTATTTAACTCCTAAACATTTTGTTTTCATAATTACGCAGCAATCCAGTCTTATTACTCGAAGCTGCATAAATGGAAAAAAGAAAGAATTTTTAGAGTACCATTTAGAGAACCAATTTCACTTGCAGAAATGATTTTTCCTCTTCTTCAGCTTCTCCATGTAAAAACTATAATGATTTTGATTAACGACCATATATGCATGCAGGTTTTGTGAGTATCAACTGTGGTAGTGCATATAATTTTACAGATGAGTTGGGCCTCAACTGGAGTCATGACAATTACATGAAAATTGGACAAGTGGTCAACATATCTGTAGCAAACGAGACCAGACAACAATATCAGACACTAAGATACTTCCCGGCAGATGAAAACAAATATTGCTACACACTAAGTGTTATTAGTCGGACCAGATATCTTATAAGAGCTACTTTTTTGTATGGGGACTTTGATAACAACAATGTGTATCCAAAGTTCGACATCTCGCTCGGGCCTACCCATTGGGCCACGATAGTGATTTCAGATGCTAACACGATAGAGAGTTCGGAGTTGATTTTTCTGGCTACTGAACCTACCATAAGCGTTTGTTTGTCCAATGCTAAAACTGGAGTGCCTTTTATATCCACTCTCGAGCTCAGGCAGTTTAATGGGTCCATATATTTCAATGAATATGAGAACCAGTACTACCTTAGTGTCTCGGCAAGGATAAACTTTGGCGCGGAGAGTGATGCATCTGTTAGGTATGCCTGAAAATCTCCAAATTTTGACTTAATTTTTTATGCAAAATTGCATATAAAGGCACCACCTTTATGGTTTTTTGAAATTTAATCACCACATTTTGCCATTTGCGTTTAAATCACTAAAGCATAATATTAACTTCGGTTAGACTTTCCGTCTGTGCCAAGTCAGTCACATTGACTTTCCATCTGTGCTATAAGTCAACTCCAATCTAACGGAAGTTAAATTATGCTTCGATCTGAAAAACATATGAAAGGTGGTGATTGAACTACAAATACCAAAAGGTGATGATTAATTGAAAAAGCCTTAAAGGTTGTGCCTTTATATGCAATTTGACTTATTTTTATTTGTCAGCATGTAAAAATAAAGGGGACAAAAAAGGTTACTAGTTTTCCCAAATGGCTGCTATTATTTGCATAAAAAATAATTATTTGATTTCTAAAAGCAGGGGAAAAGATATTTTAGAGTGTGGTGGGTATTGTTTTGCTTGAAGAATTTATGTACACTAGAGATTAGCGATAAGAGAACAGAATATATGGAAGAAAAATGATGGTTTCTTGAGAGTGTAATTAGATATAAGTTGATATATTGTGGAAATAGTAAAATAATGAGGATATAATTTGTAGTTAGATATGCCTCAACAAATAGTCAAATGCGTGGCAATGATTTTTCCTTTTCAAAAAGTGTAGACGGCATTTGTGAGGAAAAAAGAGAGAATGAGTGCATTAAATCACTTCATTATCCCAAATGCAGGGTTATGTAAGCACTGCCCAAGTTGGTTTCATGCTGTATCTGTTAACTTCTCAAATATCCATGCTTTATTTATTTATATATAACAAAAAACAAAAAACATTTTGCAGATACCCAGATGACCCGTTTGATAGAATATGGCTCTCCGACTTGGTAAAAAAAGCAAACTATCTCGTCGATGTTGCTCCGGGAACTGAGAGAATATCTACCCAAATGCCCATAGACGTGAGCCGGGACGAGAGACCCCCCGAGAGAGTCATGCAGACAGCTGTGATCGGCCGAAACGGGACTCTCACTTACCGTTTGAACCTCGACGGGTTTCCCAGTCCCGGTTGGGCCTTCACGTACTTTGCCGAGATTGAAGACTTAGGCCCAAATGACATCAGAAGGTTTCGGCTGATGCTGCCTGGTGACCCTGATGTCAGCAGGCTTGTCGTGAACATTCAAGAAAATGCGCAAGGAAAATACCGATTGTACGAGCCGGGTTACTACAACATTTCATTGCCTTTCGTTTTGTCTTTCAGATTCGCCAAGACATCAGACTCCACATTGGGCCCGATTTTGAACGCCATGGAGATAAATAAGTATCTGAAGAAGAGCGATGGCTCGGCAGATGGTGAGGAATGAGTTTTAGTTCTCTTTGATATGTGAAGAAATGTGCATTTTTTTTCTTTTTGTGTGTGTGTGTGTTACGAATTCGTTAATAAAAATGGGTAGTTGCTAAAACGTGGAAAATTGTGGAAGTTGTTGAAATTATTAAAATTTAAAAATACCCCTTTGGATTACGTTCGTCTTACATTTTACGTCTTAAAATAATTTTTACTACTACAAACACACTTCAGATTTTGCATATATTTGCATTCCCGAATTTTATAATACTACAAATAGCCATGAAAATTGTGACTATTAGTAATGAATTTAAGAGTCCGGGGGTTGTATTAAGATGGAAGATTAAAATGCTTGATCACATTTTGTGTTCTTCGAGGATGAATAAATATAGTGTCTTAACAGCTTATTGGAGTTGCAGGACCACTTCTTGCTGATGTGGCCGCAGCTCATTCGTCAGCCGAGTGGGCACTTGAAGGTGGTGACCCTTGCCTTCCAGCTCCATGGTCATGGGTCCAGTGTAATTCAGATCCCCAGCCAAAGATAATATCAATGTACATTCTTCTGCTTTTTTATATTTCTTTTATTACTTATTATTTGTCTGAAAGTAATGAAAATCAAACAATGTCATTTTACTTGATGATAATGTTTATGATTGTGCAGTAAACTTTCGGGGAAGAATTTGAGTGGATCAATTCCAGCAGAGTTGACAAAGCTGAATGGTCTAGTTGAGTTGTATGTTTGTCGAAAAACAAACATTTGTTAATTCGTTATGCGGCTTTTTTACTTGGGGGACCATAATTAGATAATACGGGTCGTAATTTTTCATTGATGAAAGATATATAAATTGCAGGTGGCTTGATAATAACTCGCTGAGTGGTCCGATTCCAGATTTTTCTGGATGCCTCAACTTGCGAACAATGTGAGAATTTAATCGAGCATTTATTTATTAGTTTCTATTTCCTACACTTGGTATTTTCTTACAGCAACTGATGAATTGTTCTCTCTGTATCAGACATCTAGAGAATAATCAGTTGACCGGTGACCTGCCTTCTTCATTGGGAGATCTGTCGAATTTAAGAGACTTGTAAGTTTGAAGGGCTACATAGTAAATACAATAAAATATTAGCTTGTTACCAGAACTTTGTACAACTAAGCTGCAAACTTGTTGTGTTTTGGGTTATAATTTTGCAGGTATGTTCAAAACAATAAGTTATCAGGAAATGTGCCATCTGCTCTTCTTAATAGAGATATAAGTTTGAAGTGAGTATTCAACTATTCATAGTTTAAGTATTTTCAAGACTTAAGATGGCAATTAATTTTCTTTAATTATAGATAGTTGAGCTATTAGTCTCGTTAAACTATAAAAGTGTTAATTATTAACCGCACGTATATTTTAGCTTCACTGGGAACCCAGGTGTCCACAACAATGGCAATGGAGAAAACCGTAAAAAAATCATCATAGGAACATCAGTAGGAGCTGCTGTTCTGCTTATTGCTACTATTGCAGCCTGCATTTTATTACCGAAAGGCAAAAAAAAGCATTCTCCTAAGCAAGGTTAGTATATACATTTTATATGCATTTTATTTCTTCTTATTAGTAATAGTTGATTAATAAATCTTATTCTTATTTTTGTTTGTGGAATAGGAAAATTACAACATGGCTTGTCTACTCAAAGGCTAGTTCCTTCCCTGGGTAGCACGGCAGCTGAAACTGCACATTACTTCTCATTATCGGAAATCGAGGCTGCTACAAGTAACTTTGAGAGGAAAATTGGGTCAGGTGGATTTGGGGTCGTATATTATGGGAAACTGAAAAACGGTAAGGAAATCGCGGTCAAGATCTTGACTAATGATTCATTCCAGAGCAAGCGAGAATTTTCGAATGAGGTAAAATACTTGATGTCTATTTATTAAGTTCCTTGCAAGGTCGATTGGCTCAATTAGTTATGTTTGGTAAACCTAGTTGATAAGTTAGCTATAGCTTTTAAGTGAATTTCAAGCTTATAGTTGATAGCTTATGACTTATGGCTGATAAAAGTGTGGTATAAGTAGCTAGTAAGCTAGCTGAAATAAAAATTCAATTGGCTTATTCGAAAAGCTACCTAAGGAAGCTTATGGCATAAGCTCGAGCATTTTTTCTACCGAACCAAGCTTTTTTGAATACAAGAAGTTTATAAGCTAATCAAATAAGCTATAAGCTAGTTTATATGTTTACCAAACACAGCCGGTGTTTTCTTTAATCTGTTAACTTTTTTGGTTTTATGTTTTGGTTTGATGTAATACTTGAGTATTTATTTACTTATGATGGAAGCTAGTGTGAAATTTTGAGCAAGTTTCTTTCGGAAATCGTATGAATTCGAATAATGCGTAATGTAGTCTCGTCCGCATTTGATGCTAATAAATCCTTATGCAAAAAAAAAAAAAAAAGGTCTCTCTTCTTTCGAGAATACATCATAGGAATCTAGTACAGTTTCTTGGATACTGTCAAGAAGAAGGGAAAAGTATTCTTGTATATGAGTTCATGCATAACGGGACTCTCAAGGAGCACCTATACGGTATACACTTATTTCTCCTTTCCTTTTCCTTTTCGTTTTTTCTTGGAAAATACGGAACTGAACTTAAATTTGCTCAACTAAATAAACCTTACGATAGGGCCCTTAACACGTGGAAGAGGAATTAATTGGATGAAGCGCCTTGAGATTGCTGAAGATGCTGCGAAAGGTTCGTTTAGCCAAAACTGAAATAAGCATTGTATTGAAGACGTACCGAGTCAAATCTTCTTTATGAAAAATAGAATAAATTACAATAAACATTAAAACTATACTAACACAAAAAGGCAGCAAAATAGTAAATTCGTGTACTGTGTTCTTCCTCTGATACAGGAATCGAGTACCTCCACACTGGCTGTGTACCATCAATTATCCACAGAGATTTGAAAACGAGCAATATTCTTATTGACAAGAACATGAGAGCTAAGGTTTCGGATTTCGGCCTCTCGAAGCTAGCCATCGATGGAATTTCTCACGTATCAAGCATTGTTCGAGGCACTGTTGGTTATCTTGATCCGGAGTAAGAATCTTGTCTCGTTTTAGTACGACTTTTATCTTATTATTTTATTACTTCATTTGTGCTTTAATTTTAATATGTTTTATTTTTTCTTTTCCGTTCGTGCTAATGCAGGTATTACATCTCCCAACAGCTGACCGACAAAAGCGACGTTTATAGTTTTGGTGTCATCCTTTTGGAGCTAATTTCTGGTCAAGAAGCAATTTCTAACGAAAACTTTGGCGTCAACTGCCGAAACATTGTCCAGTGGGTAAGTTTCTTTGTAATTCTGAAAATTATTAAAAGTTCTTAGTACTTGGCATAATTCTTAGAGTAGAGTACGATAGCTTAGGGCTTGCTATTGAGTTTTGATTGAGTTTTTTGGTTAATCATAGTTAATTTTGAAAAAAGTTGGTTGGGTTAGGTTTGAGTGTAATTTTGAGTTTGTATTAAAATAATATTTAATATAAAACGATGAAAGTTGATTTGATGTAAAAGTAATAAAGAAGTGATTGAGAGTGATGGATAGTTATATTTATGTGAGTGGTGAATAGTGAATTAAAACAAATTGATGGGTGAGGATAATTGATTGATATTATTTAATTATATTGATAATTATATTGATAATATTGACGAGAAGTTTAGTTGAGTTAAAAGAAGTGATTTGATCAAATTTGTATCCAAGCAAGCACTTATACATTTTTCTCCTCAACCGATAATTTTGGCATTTTTTTTTTTTTTTTTCCAAACCGGCAGGCGAAACTGCACATCGAGAGTGGGGACTTGCAGGGAATTATAGACCCTACACTGCACGATTACGATATTCAATCTATGTGGAAAATAGCCGAGAAGGCATTGATGTGCGTGCAGCCACACGGGAACACGAGGCCCTCGATTTCCGAGGTCATCAAGGATATTCATGATGCAATAATGGTCGAGAAAGTTCGGGAGGGAAACTCAGACGAGATCTCGAGGCATTCGGTTCACTCGTCCTTGAAAATGGGGTCCATGGACATGGGAGCAAGTGATCATTATTTATCGATTGATGACTCGATTGCGCGGCCCGTTGCTCGATAGACTCGTGCATTTATTCGTTCGTGATTTTCTATTTTTATTTTTTTAATTGGTGGAGTTTTTGTACTTCATTTTGATGAGATGAAGAGGAAGAAGCTTTTTGATGACTGTGTAACTGTAAATTCTGATCTTTCTTGGAGGAGCATTTGGTATTCATATAATCATATGCTTGTTTATAATTTTGTTTGATGAATGAATAATGAGTTTTAGTTGGTGAATAACAATGATATTTATTCCACAACATCATAAAAGAGCTCATGATAATATATATTGGAGGATTAATTTTATATTTTACTTTATTAACTTCATGAATTAATTTTATTTTTTTCAAAATTTTACATTGGGGATGCTATGGAGGATGCACTTCCACTTTGAATTTTTTTTTGGGTTAAAAAGAATGAAGTTAATTTTTAACTGAAAAAATATTTTTTTTTTAAAAAAGTGTGAGCGAGTATAGAATGATAAAATGATATATAATAAGGCCAAGAAAATAACTTATTGATAAAGTTATGCAAATAAATATTTTATATAACTGAATTTTAGTGGGTGAATCAAGAGTATTAATGAAAATTGTATATAGAATGTATAACTTGATGAATTTAAGGATGAGCAAAATCGAGCTGAAACCGAATAACCGAGCTGAACCGTGCAATTCAGTACGGTTCGGTCCAGTTCCCTTTTTTTTCATTGTGGTGCGGTGCGATTATAGTTTTTTCATAAGTTCGGTTTTCGGTTTTCTTCGGTTCGATGCGGTTTTTTATCGAACCGCACCAAATTGCATAAAGTGTACATAAAAATTGAGATAAAATCGAAAACCGAACCAAACCGAACCGTGCATTTCAGTGCGGTTCGGTTTATTTAGCGTATAAACATTCCGGTTCGGTTCGGATTCAGTTTTTCTAAAATTGCGGTGCAGTTTAGTTATTTATTTGGCCAAGTTCGATTTTCGGTTTTTTGTGATTCAGTGCACTTTTTCACCTAACTGCACCGTTGCTCACCCTAGATGGATTGTTGTAATTTGATGGACAGGAAGAAAAAAAAAAAAAAAAAAGAAAGAAAGCGGGAAGATCAGGCATAAAATTTTGTGTAAAAACCCATAAATGTTTGGCTTCATTTCATCCCACATCGATTGGGAATGCGTTAAGTGAAGGCAGAGTGTGACTATAAATTTGTGAGCCAACATTTATGTATCCTCACGCAGCCGCGCGGTAAGCACAGAGCGAACTATTCTTTCGCCTTTTACTAAAGAATACCGTGTGCTTGCCGCTTTTAAGCGGCATACGCCCATTTTTGGAGGGGTACTTGTCCCTTTGGGATTTGTACCCCAACAATTATAGTTCAATATTATTTATATTTATTTATTTTTCATTTTCTTACAATTTTAATTTCAACTTAAATCAGTGATTATTATAAAATATGGTAAAAATAATTACTTTGCAACTTCAATTTGAAGGCGTACCCTAAAATAGAATATAAATAAACATTTGATAAAATATAAAGGTACATATATGCAGTTGCACTACCGTGTGCCTTGGCACACCTTGCTAGGTGTGCCAAGACATAAATA